AATATACTAAAAATCTTTTAATGTGTTTAGGAAAAAAGCCACCGGCGCCGTTTTAAATTCCTTTCATTGTTTATTTATTTAATTGTTTATATATATTAAATCAGTATTTTTTTTCAAGTATGAACGTTACTTCTTCTTCTCGGTGCTATAAGTGATGTTAACAGGAGTTATTGTATGGCAGAGTTTATGCAGGCTGAGCGTGTTAACGGAACTGTGTGGAGAGCTAAGTGCCTGCGGTATTCGCCCCGTGTCCTCGTGAAATCATAAGTAAGGTTAATTGTTAATGGTAATTCATCTTGTTGGACAAGATCCTTCTCCTCTGTTTCATCATGATCGGTATAGATAGACTAAGAGGTAAAGGCGCTCACGTGTACTCTCCAGGTAAGACGACACAACAATTGTAACACAAGCCAGACACGGTGACCCCCCCCACCAGGTACACGTGGCTACCCAAGCGTGTGGTGATAACTATGAATGCTTCGTTTATAAGATTAATTCATGAGTTAGTGCAGTCATAAGTCCAGTTTAACTCTTGAGAATTGTTAGTTTCTGCAGCAAATTCCTGCCCTCAGATAATAGACGTGTACTCTACTAATTTTTATTCATAAAATTGTTAGCTTCTGCTTGATATTACTGTCTTCAGGTAATAAATGGTTTACCTGCAAAAATAGTTGCTGCTGGGGGAATTCAGATAAGCGTCTTGACAGTTTAACTTAAGTCGTCTCCCTGCCAGAGACGGAATACGCACGGTGCTCCCACATCTAACACAATCTCGTTCACGTTACGTCTAACGAATAGTGATCACTAAGTGTTAAAACTCTTTAAATTACTGACTACACGACGTGAGGGAGGGAGGTAGGTCCTGGGAGTTTAGAGAAGTTAATAATCACATTCTGGTTTCACGTGCAGGGAACATATTAGTGTTTGTCAGTCTGTCTTTAGGTTGCATTTCTCGCTCATGACACGAACACCACTGAAGATTTTTACCCCAACTTTGACACACAGACTTGATATTGTTTATGTATGGTAATGTTGATCATGAAGTTGACCTTGTAATTAGGACGTTTAAAGTCAGATATGATGATGATAATGTTGTTTACTTACAGTGCTTATCATGACTTTGTGTTCGTAATTCGTTACCTTAATATTGAATAAATTAAGTTTATGGTTATACAAGCTAATAGGTGTGCGTTTTTGTTTTGTTTATATTTCACACCTTGTGTTCTTATCGTGTGACCGTGGCCTAACTACAATTGTGAAAAACTTGTCTTGTGGTCAGATGAGTAAATAGTTTGACCATTATTACTGTATAATGAGCTTTAAGTTACCACAAAATGCTGGCAGGTAATTATAACCCGAAGCTCACTAACCACCTGTGGCTGCTGCTGGTGTCAATTATGTCATTTAACGCGTGTAAGCTTTGCGCCTGCCTGATTATGGCACTCACTAATTACCACGCCTCGATCCTAACCTAACCTAACCAAATGTAATGGTACTGTAAGTTACCCTAAGCAAACATCACCAAACTTACCCTAATCAAATGTAACATAACCTACTCTAACAATACGTAACCTAACCTACCCTAACCAAAAGTAACGTAACCTAACCAAATGTAATGTAAGTTACCCTAACCAAACATAACCAAACCTACCCTAACCAAACGTAACCTAACCTACACTAACCAAACGTAACCTAACCTACTCTACCGTAACGTAACCTAACGTAACCTATCCTAGCCCAACGTAACAACCTATTCTAACCTAACGTAACATAACCTACCCTAACCAAACGTAACGTAACCTAACCCAGATTTAATGTAACCTACCCTAACCAAACGTAACCTAACCTGACCACACCTTCACTTAACTTCACTCAACATGGTATAACTTTCCATTTAGCGAAAGAAATCTTGTTAACCAAACCCTAACTTTATTTAACCGAACGATAATTACCGTAACCTTAGCTTTTATAACCTAACCGACCCCAGACAGAGGCGTTGGGATTATTAGGGTAATAAATTGTGGTTTGGAGAGAGAGAGAGAGAGAGAGAGAGAGAGAGAGAGAGAGAGAGAGAGAGACTAAACTTAGAAAATAGAGATTAATAAAGTAAATTACGAAGAAAAAGCGAGAGAGAGAGCTGTATGACGACTCGAAGACTGTTTTAAGTTCAGTAAACCTCTTGTAAGCCGGACAAGAGCCAGATGTTCCGTTATAGAGTGAAATGCATTTGTGTGTGTGTGTGTGTGTGTTGCGCGCGTGTGTGTGTTGCGCGCGCTCATATTTATAGGTCATGTTTGTGTGTGTGTTTTGTACTGTCTCTGTTATGGTAATTTAAAATTTAATGTTATATGTTATCGACGTGCAGGTAAAAAGAAAGAATTTTATTTTATTTTATTTATTTTATTCTTTACTTAATATTAATACCTGATGCGTAGATATAACACACACACACACACACACACACACACACACACACACACAGACTGCCAAACTCCTGGGTGTTACCATAGACCACAAACTGGACTGGAAGGCCCATGTAAACAACACAATCTAGGCAGCCTCGTACCTACTCTACATGCTACGACGACTCAGGTCACTTGGGACACCCACGCCAGAGCTGAGGACCATCTACAACGCCTTTATTCAACCCAAACTAACGTATGCGTCACCAGCCTGGTCGTCTTCTCTCAACTCCACCCAACAACGTCGGCTAGAGAAGGGCCTACAGAATCATGCTCGGTGCAGACTACTCGGGCTACATCAACGCTCTCTCCACCCTGGAAATGCCATCCCTCAGTGACCTCCACCACCAAGCACTAGCAAGGTTTGGCAGTGGGCTCCTGCACCATCCTCGTCATCGCCACATCCTGCAGCCCCCCCACCCAACTCGCGCAGTCCGCCACTACAACAAAATTCAGCCCATAAGAGCCCACACCTATAGATATAAGAATAGCACCATCCCATCTATTGTTAAAATAATAAAGAACTCCTGATTTATGTACTGTACAGCCCTGTAATTGTATTCAACGCATATCATTATGTCTAAATCAAATGTAAGTTTGTATATTTTCAGCCACCGGCTGCAACTCTATTAATAAACCGTTTATTATTATTATTATTATTATTATTATTATTATTATTATTATTATTATTATTATTACACACACACACACACACACACTTCCAAATTCATGCTACTGTAAACCAAAACAAAAATTCTAGGTCGTAATGTTTACAAGTGGAGAACGTGACAAGAGTTAGTGATTCGCAGTGACCTTAGTGGAAGACAATGTGTTGAATATGAATTGTCTGTCTGTTGTGGTGGACCTGATAAGCTAGTAGACTATCCTATTAATTATATGACTTTCTCAATGTATTAATAGTATTTTTTGTATGACTAAATTTATGGTTTGTTTAATTCTACAACTTTTTAAAATTATTGTTAGTGATAATTTTCATGACTATAAATTTATCGTTAGTGTTAATTCAATGACTTTATAAATATGTGGTTAGTATTTATGCTGTAACATTCTAAATTTATTGTTAGAGTTGATTTATGACTTTCAAAATGTATTGTGACTGTTACGTATATGACTTTCTACGTATATTGTTAGTATTTAGCCTTGAGATAATTCGATGGTTTAAGAGTCCTCGTCAACAATCATCTCGGTGGATCAGAATTTATACGGAGGAAGGTTGTTCGTAATGGCTGGTTATTTGTTATAGCCACTCAATGACGTTGGTGCCTGGAGGTGAGTCGTTAGTAGGGGTGAGTGTAATGAGTATACTATAACCACGCCTCTCATCATCATCATCATCATCATCATCAATAACCACGCCTCTCATCATCATTATCATCAATAACCACGCCTCTCATCATCATCATCATCAATAACCACGCCTCTCATCATCATCATCATCAACCACGTCTCTCATCATCATCATCATCATCATCATCATCATCATCAATAACCACGCCTCTCATCATCATCATCTAATCATCTTAAGCCACCTGGTGAGAAAGTATATGATGGTGAAAGGCTCCATCAAGGTCACCATTATTATCTAGTTAGTTGACCTATAATTGTGTGCCCTAAATGATGTGTTTTTTTTCTCTTTTCTATTATTACGTATTACAGATGTTTTTTTTTAAATAAGGATTTTTTTTCATTTTATTCCTTTTTTGTGGGTTCATTTTTCTTTCGGTACTCTGAAGACTTACTTGTAGGTGTTGTTGATATGGAGCAACCCATGTGTGTTGAGTGCAGAGAAACACTGACTTCTATACTGAAACACAGTGGATATGGAGGAACCCGTGTGTGTTGAGTGCAGAGAAACACTGACTTCTATACTGAAACACAAACTCCTTGTCACGAAGTAGGTGGTTGGTAACTCAAGTCAGTAGATGTGGCAAAGGTTGGGGATACTGAGTTAAATTAAACGTATTCGTAAATCCAACACCACCCTTCAAATCCGATCCCAGTCAGCCCTCAAATCCGACCCCATCCAGCCCTCAAATCAGACCCCAGTCAACCCTCAGTACCTATATAAGTTTTCGCACACATTATATCGTAAAGAGTTAGAGAGCGGCACAACAAGTCAGCTACGCGATCCAGTGTTCTTGCAGATATTTGCATGTGTTGCATATCAATTCGTTTTACAGTATCTGGTACAAAGGCTGAAGTTAGCGGAGTAATTATCGTTCGTTTTACTGTATTGCCTGAGCAGAAGTAAAGTTGGAAGGCTGGGAATTGACCACGTAACAGACATTGTAGTGGAGGAGCTCGCCTACCTGCATATTGTCGTTATTCTCCCGTGTTCATGGAGGTGTATGAGGGTGTGAGTGTTACGTACTGCCAGGATAGTAAACAATATTGTACAGCGTCCCCAATCCTCCAATTTGTTTCTAGGCGCTGTGCGATAGGGTGTAGTCAGTGGTTACCCCGTTTACTTGCTTGCTTGCTTGCTTGTCCTGGCGATATCTCAGGCACTAATGAGTTCTAGGAAGCTGAAATTTGGACACAATGGTGCACAAGTGCTTTGGCATTTTTTGCAACTATTTTAATCATGACATTACATGAGGACGTATCACAACTATTACAGTTAATGAATATGATGCTCAATAAATATTATAATAATGTGTCCTAATCACCACACTTTATTTCGATATATAGATTATACTGTATATAATACCTTGTGATTACAAAATGATCTTCCCTGTTTAAACATTTATTATGGAAATGGTAACACAACTACAGCGTAAAGCAAGATATAATGATAAAGAACTATACAAAAAGTTTTATTTTAAAGAAATAGAAGTTCAATACGGAGCTCCATTTGTGGCTCTGCATAGCGATTCAACGGTCTTCTTACTATTATAAATACTCACTCTGTTTTTGTTAGCCAGGGCATTTCAAGCAGCCGTCTGGTGGTAGGTTTTTGTCCTGCTAGGCTTCTTGGTGTCACACACACACACACACACACACACACACACACACACAGTATCAGTGGGAATATGTACTGCAGCTAGTCAGGTAGATAACTAACTCCTGGAGATACTTTTAAGAGTTCAATGCCGGATGCTTTGTTGTTTTACTAATTGAAAGGTTTCTTGTGTTTTGTCTCCACCCATATTATAGTGTCTCACCCCCCCCCCACACACACACAAAGTCAAGCAGGTTTGAAAGGTAAATGAGGAAATAAAATTTGTAATTAATCAAAATATGCTTTAATTGTATATATATATACAACATCTTACTAGGACCGACGACAGCAAGAGGTTTCCTGGCGTGTTTATTGATATGAGGGCTGAGGGGCTGGTATGTTGAGGGCTGGTATGAGGGGCTGAGGGGCTGGTATGAGGGCTGAGGGGGTTGGTATGAGGGCTGAGGGGGCTGGTATGAGGGCTGTGGAGGCTGATATGATGGCTGGCCATAAGACTGGGGCTTGAAGGTGACGGCAGGGCCGTACTCGTGGGGGTACTGAGCCTCGCCCTTGTAGCTCACCTGAGCCTGGTAACCGCTGTAGTGGTCAGCTATGTAGTTCACCTGGTGGAGGTAGAAACAATTAGACTACTGTTGGATCAGATATATTTATATCAGTATAAGAATGATGAATATTAGCCCAAGCTTCAGTCCTCTCTGGGGTATGGTCACTTACTGTCTGGATGCGGCCGTCTGGGAGCACAACATTGTAGGAGCCTTTGACAGCGTTACCGTCAGAGTCCTCGTTGTGACTGAAGTCAGTGCCGGCGTATTCGTCCTTGACACCATAGGCGTAGTTGTAGGGCATGGGCTCCTGTGGATGACATAATGCAGTGTGATCAACAAGTTAGAATATAATTTTGTATTAGAGTTGACTTTCATTCATAATTATCAAAGCTTGAGAGTGTTATGAGCTGTAGAAATTACCGGTTTGTAGGTGGGTTGGCTGTAGAGGTCAGACGGGAGGGCCAAGGACGCGCCCACCACCACCATCAACACGGCCACCTGCTGGGCGGAGAAATGAGAGTAAATTGTCTGGTATATCTACGTTTTAGCGCAAATATATATATATATATATATATATATATACTTACACACTTTTCCCTAACATCTGTCTCGACTACAGATGAGCATGTTTAAGATGTTTCAGCATAGCCAGGCAAATCTATTGCGGTAACATTGTATTTTCAAGTTGCATTTCCCATTTATTGCAAGACTGTATAGCACTGAAGATCACAGTAGTGGCAGTCACAGTACCTTGATCATGGTGAGGTAATGTTGTGTATCAGTGGAGAGTTGGAGCAGTGAATGATGATCAAGTGTGGGTGGCGGCACCTTATATACCGTAACCTGCAGCTTGTGATGCTCCTCCTCTTTCTCTCCCCCTTCATGGTAACGTGTGAACACTGGGGGGGGGGGGGTGATGACGGGGCAGGTAAACAGGGATTTCTTTTTAAACAATTATCAGTTAAGACGATCAAAGGTGATTGTAAAGTAACCTAATTAATTGTGTCCTATTTCATTTTCTTTTTAGTTGAATCGAATTTTAAGTTTACACATACATAGGTATTATCAAGCTAGTATTACCAAGAACACTTTTCATTGGTAGAGACGAGATCCAATGAATTGTTGTATTTTTAAATGTCCAGAATTAGTCCCTGCATATTAGTCCCACAGATCTATATTTCCAGGTCGAGGTGTCAGAGTTGGGGAAGAGGGTCGAATAGTGAAGTTGAGGACCCTTGATGTTGGCCTTTGAGCTCTACAGCATTTTAATCAGGCCGGCGAGTTCAACACTTTGACTATTATATAATTTACATTTACAGAGAATTGGGTATTTTTTCGACGACTTTTACATTTACAAGAATTCGTGACCTTATTATTAACCACGAACACCATGAATGTAAATTGGCAAAGGTGTTCTATGCTAATTTTAATCTCTGACAGGTATTAAGTGAATGTATCTAACTTGGTCATTAGTGTAATTTTAGACGTGATATTTGTACTGCACGAACTTTTGCGTTTTACCTTAAAGTCACTAAGTTATGATAATTCTTGTATCTTTACTTACTAGGAATAATTGTCTCAAGAACATGTGAGAATCTTTACCCTGGGATCTTCTGTAGTTGTCGTGACTTTAGAGTGAGGATTTAGTGGCCTACAATAAGGAGTTATTATTATTATTATTATTATTATTATTATTATTATTATTATTATTATTATTATTATTATTATTATTTCTTTATTTTTAATGTTTATTTTCATCTATCTATCTATCAATCTCTCTATCTACCTATATTGCTGTTGGATTAAGTAGATTAAAGATTAGGGAGGGTTAGTTGTGGTAATTGGGGCATGGAGGTGATGGGTGGACAGTGCTCTTGTGGGTAATGGTGTTGGTTACCAGAATTGTGGGGGGGGGAGGGTTGTCGTCACACAGCTTACCTGACGGAGGTGTATCATTATGGTTTTATCTGCGACCAACTTTCTTTCACCTATTTGTATTAGAAACAGGTGTCCTGGGGTGATCTCTCTCTCTCTCTCTCTCTCTCTCTCTCTCTCTCTCTCTCTGTGGTTATTATACAGTTTAAATTTATTATTATTATTATTATTATTATTATTATTATTATTGTTATTGTTATTATTGACTATTTTAAGCTGCTATTCTTAGTGTCTTACCCTTGTTGAAACAGATGGTTGAGATAGTTCGAATAGCTCGTTATGGGGAATTGAGAGAGAGAGAGAGAGAGAGAGAGAGTAGACATAAAATGGCTCGTTATGGGAATTAAAGGAAAGGCGAAAGCAGCTCCCTCCATCATCACGACCATCTGGTGGGAAAGTGTGGAGGTGTAGGTGGTGTTATGATGGCTCTGTCGTCGTCATAAATATCACGAATTTCCCGCCGTTTGTGTCGCAACCTGAAGGAAACACTCGTGACAGTCCACCACCACGCCACGAACAACCGACTATGGACAACCACCCACGGACATCAATCATGAACGATCACCCCACGGACAAACACTAAAGACTATAACCACGGGCGTCTCACAGTGATGGTCTTGGTAATTTTTTTGATCAATTTAAGGTCCTGTGTGACTTTTCCCGTGATTTTCAACTTTAGGAAAGAAAGTTGTCGTGGCAGAGAGCGATTATCTTTGTATCCAACGATTAGATCCTGTTGTGTTGGTGACCTTTGGCTGACTAGTGACTGTGTAATTAAATTTGAAATATCAGAAGCCATAATGGTATGTTGTGAAGGCGGATCATAGCATTTCTAGGTGTAGATAGAGAGTTACATAGGTAGGTGGGTAGGTAGGTAGGTAGATATATAGATAGAAAGTAGATTGGTAGGTAGATAATTAATTAGATATATAATTATTCAGTACAATTTAGTGATTAATTTGTTAATGTTTCTATTAATTTCTTAGTATTACTGTACCTGTATCGTGTACCTAAACTAAAATTTGTACCGCGTATGTTTACTTTTCTAATGAATAAACACACTAGGGTAGCATCTTAGATTATGTCGCCCCCACACACCATCACGTCAAGTGTCAGGGGTGAGACTATCTCGGCGGTGTAGTGAGGTGTCAGCGACTGTTAGTAGCCACGGCGAGCTTTCACTGTTCTCCCACAAGTCTGGATAGGATATCACACCACACGACTAATTTATATATATATATATATATATATATATATATATATATATATATATATATATATATATATATATATATATATATATATATATATATATATTATTTTGATACCCACCGCAATAATTAACTTTGTTTATAGAAAATATTTAAATAAACGTATGAGTATTTAGAGTGCATGTTTAAATATATGTCTGTTTGTTAAGAGTAAATAAGTGTGAATGTTTCACATTGGTGTCAGAGGAAGAGACAATTTTGCTTTGTATGTCCCTCATCAATCTTCTTCGTTAGAGTATTTTTGTGTCATTAAGAATCGCTGTCAAAAAGGAAAGAGAATTTCATAAAGTATTATTATTCTTCGTTCATTTAATGTCATGAGACTTTATTTACTTGAGAACTAGTCATCATCACTCGGGCCCCAGGAAGCTCTGTACAGTAATACCGGAAGTTGGAACACGTTGTCTTGGATTCTAGTAATAGGTTCTTGCCCGGGGACTTGGGATTTAAGGTTGAGTGTAGAGGAATCAAGGCTTTAGGTAACATTGTTGTTCAGTGTGGTGGTCAGGAGGTTGTGGTCCCGAGTGTCTGCCAGCCGCCTTACCCAACTAAGAGAGCTATATCTCTTTTATCAGTGGTATACCGCGCATTGTAATGGTGTGGGGGTATTTTGTTGTTGTTTAGTGTTTGTCTTCGGTATTCCTTATTGTTACTCTTTGATACACACACACACACACACACACACACACACACACACACACATATTAAACCGTTATGACGTACTTGTAAAATATAATAAATCGTAACAAGTTATTGTTTTTTTCAGTCACAAGATTTTTATTTAATAATATAATAAAATTTCTTTACTATGAGGTATAGAACCGCGAGCAAAGACAGGTCGAAAGTAGAAAAAGAAACAACGAGAGAGAGAGAGAGAGAGAGAGAGAGAGAGAATATTGGTTGACACATTTCCAACTTCCAAAAATTCCTCCACGTGGACCTGACCATCTGTTGTCGAGGCCAGGATTCCCAAACACTTTCATCTTTCCTTATTTTCGTAAATTGGAGAAGGAAGAGAACACACCAAGTTGCGGTAGATACCATACTGTACAAGTTAAGATACCATACTCTATGTTAGCGAATATGAAGTGTTCATACTATCCCCAAAGACAAAATATAAACTATGCCTCAGGTTCATGTCTTGTAAATTACTTCAGCGAAATATATTACTTGGGGAACCTATACTACTAATCCGTAGTCCATCAACATCCAGCTGAAGACCTTGTGTTGACCAGCTGCTCTATGGCGCAGTGTTACATAGTACTTGTGTCACAGTGATGAGTTCATTGTGAGCTCGATCAGTGGTATTAATCTCGTTATTGACTTCGGTATCATGGCTCTTACAAGATAGTACGTTTATTGCTGTAATAGTCTGTGTCATGTAACCAGTGGACGAGAATATGGATATATTAGTTCGGCTGAAAAAGACTGTAGATAAATATACTGGTACACTTGAGGGTTTTCTTCTCGTTACGCGATACAATGTAAACTGTTTTTTATTTTCAAACTATAGAAAATTAAACTGACTTTTTTAAATAAACCGGTATACATGAAACCCTTTGAGTTTTGGGCGAATAAATGCCTGTGTTTTCATACGGAGTTCGAAATGTTTGACCAAAACAAATATATATAACTTCTAGGTATGATTTTTTTTAATTACTTGCAATATTATAACTGAACGTAACAGTAAAGATCAGTCTTGTGAGATAACTAATACAACAGGGGACCACAAGCATAGTCATATTATTAAAGGAATATATGTTTGGCCTCGACGTACCTAGAGCCAAAGTATTTATTGTATTGACCCAATACTTGTTACTCTACAAATATGTCATTATTAATCAGAGTTTTTGGTCAGTGCTGAAATCCCCTTCTTGGGAACGTAAAGATGGTTTGAGGGAATTCACTCAGAGGGGGCCATCAGCAAGTTCATTTAGCGAACAAGGGAACTTTGGCAAATTCATTCTATTGGGAAAACTTAATCACGTTCAGTCACAAGTTCTTGAGACGTAGGGAGATGGAAAATATAGAGGGAATTATAGTACGTGTGGTTAATAAAAATATGCTTTATTAATTGTCTGCACTATACATCATTGACTAGGACTGAGGACATCAAGAGGCTGAGGTATTTATTGGTATGAGGGCTGTGGGGGCTGGTATGAGGGCTGAGGGGGCTGGTATGAGGGCTGAGGGGGCTGGTATGAGGGCTGAGGGGGCTGGTATGATGGCTGACCATAAGACTTGGGCTTGAAGGTGACGGCAGGACCGTACTCGTGGGGGTACTGAGCCTCGCCCTTGTAGCTCACCTGAGCCTGGTAACCGCTGTAGTGGTCAGCTATGTAGTTCACCTGGTGGAGGTAGAAACAATTAGACTACTGTTGGATCAGATATATTTATATCAGTATAAGAATGATGAATATTAGCCCAAGCTTCAGTCCTCTTTGGGGTATGGTCACTTACTGTCTGGATGCGGCCGTCGGGGAGCACAACATTGTAGGAGCCTTTGACAGCGTTACCGTCAGAGTCCTCGTTGTGACTGAAGTCAGTGCCGGCGTATTCGTCCTTGACACCATAGGCGTAGTTGTAGGGCATGGGCTCCTGTGGATGACATAATGTAGTGTTAGAGTATTAATCCATAAGGCATACTACTATGGTAATTTGATCATATACCACTGAAGCAGAACTCAAATATCAGTAGGTATTGAGAGCCAAACTCACCGGTTTGTAGGTGGGTTGGTTGTAGAGGTCAGACGGGAGGGCCAAGGCCACTCCTACCACCACCATCAACACGGCCACCTGCTGGGAGAGAGAATGTGACAAGTAATTCATTGGGACATCAATCAATTTCTGTGTGTTAAAAACAATAGTACTATTTATTGAGTAAAGTCTTCGATGATCTAGACCGATTCTAGAGGACTAAAAACAACTTCACTGTGAATTTTCTACATTTTTGGCGATAACATGTTTCCAGATATTGTCATAGAATTCTCGGGAGAAAAGTAAAGCACTGAAGTTCACTGTAGAGTCCCAGTTACCTTGAACATCTTGAAGTGAGCTATTGCTGGTCTGTGGAGAGCTGAGGAGCGAATGTTGACCAATAGCGGGCGGCGGCACCTTATATACCGCGTTACCTGAGGCTATTGATGCCACCCCGTTAGTTTCTCTCCCCCTTCATGCTCCGTGAGGCGTTCAAGATAAATTCCCTTTCAAGTGATTATTGCTATTTCACGATCACCATGTGGGATTCTGTGTGTGTGTGTACGTCCTTATTAGTCTCTGTTGTTCATTAATATTCATATAGTTTGTCCCAATATTATCTCAGTCCTTTGGCTTAAGTCGACCAGTTTGGATCATCCTCACACCTTCAGTTACTAGGAATATTCATCATATTATTTTGTTGTGAATACGAACCCAAGAGAGTTTTCGCCTTACACAGGATATAGTAAAAGGTTCATATATTGGATTCAGTCTGGGATTCAAGACTTGGTAACACATTTCAGAACGGTAACACATTTCAGAACCCGAGACAAGATTCGAGGGCAGACGTACTTAAGGAAATTACTTGTATATTATAGTGTACATTCTCATTTACAAACTTCCTACTTACATGCTTGGTATTAGTTTCCTCAGAGGCCAATTATTTTTACGTATAAGACAAACATTTTCTCTCAAGTTAACAGCATAATAGAAAATATTCATCGCACACAAGGTTAAATTAAGGGGTCAAAGTTTGCACCATACTCTTTTGTAGCTTATATGTGTTTGTATAAAGATGCCTATAGTTGTCAAATGGTCCAAAAACATGCCATCTCATCTTAAACATTCCATTTATCACCTATATTGAAGATGTAGTCAGACTAAATGATATTTTGGAAAAGAATAAAACTGATGCAAAAGTTATTAGTTTTTAGTATTTGCTGTAATGTTAATGAATATAACAGGTCGGACCATTAGATAAAGCTATATCAAACGTGTTAATTTGAATTTAAAATCATAAAAGCAGTAATTATTTCATACATGATGATGATGATAAACGTGAATATATAAACTGTACACGCTATTGGAGTCTCACATTGCGTAAAGGACAAATGTTCACTGGGCGTTACTTAAAATTACCTCACCCGTGTCAGTCACCCCCTGTTAGAGACGAAATTGTTTACAGATCAAGAGGAAACGATTGCTCCGTGTCCGTATATCACTCTGACGCTTTGTACCATGCGAAGCGAGGTTTAAACATTGCTTGGTGTGGATTGAGTTTCAAGGGATTAGTTCCGCGTGCGCCAAGTGCTTGTCTAGTTGTCTCACTAAACCTTGGCCCACCCTCGAAGATGATCAGTGTGCAGAACAGTTTGTCCAGTTTTATTAAATTGAATTACATCAATATGACACACTACAAAATTGATGCTACACTTGTATTTAATTGTAAATTTCTGTCAAAGATCTATCTGGAATTCAAAAGAAATTGTAGGAGAGAGAGAGAGAGAGAGAGAGAGAGAGAGAGAGAGAGAGAGAGAGAGAGAGAGACCCTTGAATACGACGCTACCTCTAAGGAGTCTAAGTAGTGACTTAGCCTACTGAGTACTACAAAAACTACCATATCTTAACCAATCAAAAAACGACAAGTAAGATGACGCTGTAATCAGATTACAGTTGGTTCTAACCAGATTTATTGTTGTTGTTATAAAGTTATTACTGCTCTTCAACAACAGAGGTTTTTAAGTGCGTAACAAGGTTAGTAATACACTTTTCATCAACATTAAAAATGATGCGAGATAGAACTCTGTGTATTAGCTAGAGTCCTTTGTTTTGTGAGGCGTTGAAAGATGACATAACCAAGTACCAACACTGTTGGTGTCCTGGTGCCAACACTGTTGGTGTCCTGGTGCCAACACTGTTGGTGTTCTGGTGCCAACACTGTTGGTGTCCTGGTGCCAACACTGTTGGTGTCCTGGTGCCAACACTGTTGGTGTCCTGGTGCCAACACTGTTGGTGTCCTGGTGCCAACACTGTTGGTGTTCTGGTGCCAACACTGTTGGTGTCTTGGTGTCAACACTGTTGGTGTTCTGGTGCCAACACTGTTGGTGTCCTGGTGTCAACACTGTTGGTGTTCTGGTGCCAACACTGTTGGTGTTCTGGTGCCAACACTGTTGGTGTTCTGGTGCCAACACTGTTGGTGTCTTGGTGCCAACACTGTTGGTGTCTTGGTGTCAACACTGTTGGTGTCCTGGTGCCAACACTGTTGGTGTTCTGGTGCCAACACTGTTGGTGTCTTGGTGTCAACACTGTTGGTGTCTTAGTGCCAACACTGTTGGTGTCCTGGTGCCAACATTGTTGGTGTCCTGGTGCCAACATTGTTGGTGTCCTAGTGCCAACACTGTTGGTGTCCTGGTACCAACACTGTTGGTGTCTTGGTGTCAACACTGTTGGTGTCCTGGTGCCAACACTGTTGGTGTCCTGGCGCCAACACTGTTGGTAACTGGTGCCAACACCAAACCTGGCGCCAACACTGTTGGTGTCTTGGTGTCAACACTGTTGGTGTCTTTGGTGTCAACACTGTTGGTGTCCTGGTGCCAACATTGTTGGTGTCCTGGTGTGAACACTGTTGGTGTCTTGGTGTCAACACTGTTGGTGTCCTGGTGCCAACACTGTTGGTGTCTTGGTGTCAACACTGTTGGTGTCCTGGTGCCAACACTGTTGGTGTCCTGGTGTGAACACTGTTGGTGTCCTGGTGTCAATATTGCATCGTGATAATAATGTATAATGCAGTATCTCGTGTATAAGAAAGAACAGGTATCGTATATATATATATATATATATATATATATATATATATATATATATATATATATATAATATATATATATATATATATATATATATATATATATATATATATATATATATATATATATATATATATATATATATATATATATATATTATATATAGAGAGAGAGAGAGAGAGAGAGAGAGAGAGAGAGAGAGAGAGAGAGAGAGAGAGAGAGAGAGAGAGAGAGAGAGAGAGGAGAGAGAGAGAACAAGGTTAGTTAAATGGAGAAAATATAAAAAAGAGTTTTATGCAGCCGATATTACGAAACAAAATGGACCTTAAGCTGGCCTGTTATATATTCCAGTTTATTTATATATGTTCATGAAACGTACGCACGTACGTACGTATGCACGTACGTGTGTGTGTGTGTGTGTGTGTGTGTGTGTGTGTGTTATTTTACAGTTCAGGCAACTTTTGGTGTTGCGGCGTTTGGCAATAAAACTTATAACTTACATAATACCTTCATTACCTGTTGAGAACATACACCTAAGATACCGGGAGGTGTTTGGTAAGGTAATAAAATGACAGCTTAGGAATCAACACGTTTAATTATCTTAGACACTACAGCGTGCACTAGGAGAGGTATAACAAGGTCAGTTATTGGTAAGAGGGCTGGGGGCCGTAAGAGGGCTGGTACGTCTGGGGCTTGAAGGTGATGGCAGGGCCGTACTCGTGGGGGTACTGAGCCTCGCCCTGGTAGCTCACCTGAGCCTGGTAGCCGCCGTAGTGGTCTGCCAAGTAGGTCACCTGGTAGGAGTAGATTCATGAGTTAATGAACTTTTATTCATGTTGTTATCTATGTGGCAATCAGATGCCCATGTGTGGTTTGTGAAAAGGTTGATAGAGGCAGTAACACAGTGGGCGAGTTTAGAACCCCTGGTGTGAGATGGATTTACTCATGATAGATTGATGTTGAGGATATATCTGTACTCACACTGTAATCGTGGCTGGTGCTGAGTTTAGTGCATAGTAGTTTGTGACTTACTGTCTGTATGCGGCCGTCGGGAAGTACTACTTTATACGAGCCCTTCGCTGTGGAGCCGTCGGAGTCCTCACTGTGGCCGAAGTCAGTGCCGGAGTATTCGTCCTTAACACCGTAGGCGTAGTTGTAGGGGATGGGGTCCTGAGGGTGCCAAGGGCGGGGAGGGATGGGAGAGGACCATTTAGTGTGTGTGCTAGAACTCCTGTAGATGGGTGTTCAGTAACTAATTTCAGTCTCAGTTAAGGATGAAGGATGGAGAAACTTACCGAATTGTAGGAATCAGAGGGGAAAGCCAGAGTCACACCCACCACCATGACCATCACTAACGCCGCCACCTGGTGAGGAACATGTGCATATAGAACTTTTGTAATCCACGACCCCCTGACGGAGAAACGATGATCCTCCCCATATTGGCCAGATATTTTGTAAATAACATTGATTATGTGTTAAAGGAATATCTTTCCTTCCTTAGGCTTTAGTAAGCCCCTTTATAATATTTATACTGTATATACTTGTCACACTTGTCAGATGCTTCTGGTGTCATTGTACAGGGGTACCTAGTGACAGCACTAGGATCCCGCTTCCTCTATCAAGGAATAAACAATTGAAATTGAAATTGAACTTTTGTAAATCGGCTGAGTTTAATATTGCTAAGTTAGGACTCTGCTCTCCTACACCAAACTTGAATCCTCTGCGATAAACTGTGTAAATACTTTCTAAATTTCAAGATATGAGGATGGCAGTTTCTAATTTATCATTACAAATTATTGAAAGATAAAATCTACATAAAAGTAGCATTAAGGCACCGTAAAAAGTAACAATTAGTGACACCTGGTGCAAATACAGTATGGTCAGGGAATCCTCGGGGGGTATTGAAGTAAATCTAAATTTTGTATATAATTGGGCACCAAGAAAGCAGTGTTCATAGAGGGGTGAGGTCATTTATAAGAGCTGTTTTTACACCCCATGGTATACGATATCTGAATATAGCTGTGGTAGTTGCCGTCTTTTGGATATCGGGCACGGAAGACTGGGATGTGTTTTACTACGGTGATATTCTCTGTACAGATGGAGATTTCTTAGAGGAGCACTGAGGTTCACAAAACTTAAGGATCACTGCCACACTACCTTCATCTTGTATGTGTTGTGTTGGTGTAGTGTTCTCAAGGCACGACGAGCTATGAGTGGTGACTAGGACCGCGAGGCGTCACCTTATATACCTTAACACACCTCTCTCTCCCCTTCATGCTGGAGAAGGGTGCTTGTATCGCCTCCTTCAATCATTTGTTACGGTTCAATTTTAAACTGGGGTTTAATACAATAATTTCTCTTTTCATAACCCAGTTAGTAAATGGGTTTACAGTAACATAAAGATAAAACAACTTGTATGTTTGTTTTTTTGTTATTTAAGGTAGTTTATAGAGTTGTTACGTGGGTCCCGGAAATGTTGTGAGTAGTTTGTTGTTGTGTAACAGTAGCTTCTGCTTGTCATGGTTGTGAACCACAGAGTTCCTTGGGAGAGAGATGCTGAGATGGGCAAGTTGTTGTCGTGGAGTGCTATCAGGGCCTGCCATCACGTATTCTATAAATTGTCGCTAAAAAAAATGTGGAACAGTTCCCTGGACACTTTGCAAATTTTAAATGTTATAGGTCATATATATATATATATATATATATATATATATATATATATATATATATATATATATATATATATATATATATATATATATATATATATATATATATATAATTTGTTTATAGCTGGTGAACGTTACCTTTTCCCTATAAATTATTTTACAATAACAAAAAAAAACTACACAGACAAACCTGAGTAAAAAGATGCTAAAATACCCATCACTCCTTACCTACATGACGCCTAATACCTGTATTGACAAATGTGTCCAAGGAATTTTGTCCGCAACTGTACATATCGTTTAAAATTACAACAATATGAGTCATCGCTGGAACCTTAACCTTTGTTCTGTGCAAGTCTACACCCATTTAGGTTTTATGACATGAGTTATGATCAATGCTCACATCAACACAAAAGGAAATACTTATTAGATCATGACACTGATCCAGTTTCCAAAGCCTCCGCCCTTCGATGGTCATTTTCTTTGGTGATGGGTTAATGGGTGACTCTTGGAGAAAGCCCCAGTCTTCACGGGTTCCATGCATACCTGTTTCCAGTCTTAAGAAGCCCCAAATATTATAAGGCATGAAGTCCAGTCTTAATGGACCTCAACCTAATAGGCTCCAAGCTTCGTACTTACAGTAGGTTAAGTTGGTGCCCATTGCCTTGGGATGTGTGTTGTCTCAATTGGCAGTTGTTGCGGGTTAAAAGATTCGGAACCAGTAGTCCAGGAGAGAGAGAGAGAGAGAGAGAGAGAGAGAGAGTGTTAATAACCAGTAAAACTAAACAAAAACTATAGAACTATATATTATAAATCAACCCGTTGTATGTTATGAGCAACCGTGTTTTTGTATGAATACTTCACATATTCATGATTGAAAAAAAAATGCAATTTTGTTGTATTGTTCACGTGGTGAGTATTTGTTTAGCAGTGTGTTCATAAAGTGTTGTATTGTTCCTCTCATCCCGGGTTATATATATAGAGAGAGAGAGAGAGAGAGAGAGAGAGAGAGAGAGAGAGTAATTAAACGTACTGTACCTAATTAGTTATTAGCTTTGGCATATTCTCTTAAATGCTGAACACACTTTAAACGAGGTCATTATAAAACTTATTTTAATTTAAACTAAACACAAAATTCAGTTCAAGTAACCAGTGTTATTAATCTTCTGTACCTGTTACAAACATTGAGACGGTAGTGGGTCTTCGCTGACACAAGGTGGTGGTGAACGAATAATACTAGTAAGTTGTTGCTGGTTTGGAGAGGTGTGTGTGTGTGTGTGAGGCGTCCGCGTTTGGGCGTGGAGAGTAGTTGTGTACTACGCTTCTGCTCCGTTTTTTTTAAGACGAAAAGTTGTGATTTTTAGTCGAGTACAGTACACGTATATAGTAAAACCTTGATGGATACACACACACACACACACACACACACACACACACACATATATATGGGAGCAAATTTACGTACTTCTTTAAGCCCATAATATATACGTATTATTGAGGATATCAGTAAAAACCGAAAGATAAAAGGACTTCATCATGAAAGTTCCCTTTTTATCTTGTTGTGTTGTGCGATAAGTTACTATCACTCTTGCCTCTCCCGTTTAGGAGTGACGAGTGTGTTCTGATACGTTATCTTTAAGTAGAGACGCTTAACAAGTGTGCGTGAGTGAGTGAGGTATTTTGAGTATTACTTTGAGTATAATGTGGTTAGATGTTTCAAAATCTCGAACCTTATTAGTGTTCAGTAACTCGAGACTTAAACACTTATTACTGATTTAAGTACATGTAAATGATGTACCTGTGCCCTTGATTGTATTTTGTTAGTACAGTATTTATTTATTTTTATATCTGAGGTACAGATTATAAAGGTGGTGGAGAGGATACCAGACCATCGGTATTTAGTGCCTTACATAATGATAGAATAAGGTGTTTTTTTTTCTGTCCCTGATCATTGTTTGTTTATATTGCCCATTGTTATGTTATTTTTATATATTTTTGCTGTGTAATATGTGAAGGGAAATGGTATATTTATCCTTCCTCGCTCTGTGTGTGTGACTCCAGGCCCACGTGATAAACTCAATGGATTGTCTCACACTTGATCTCTTGAGTGTGTACTGAGGAAGCTTATCAGCGTTACCAGGAAGGCTCAGTAGTGATGGTGTGAGACCAGGGGTGGGCGTGACGAGTTTCAGGTATAAGGTAGACACATTACTCTAGAGACAGTGGGGAATGAAGGGTTGTTGGAAACCTCTTCATCACTATCAGCTGCTGGTGAAAGGGGTGTCTTGGAAGTCATCAGAAACCTTTATTGATAGACAGCTTTCAACCTTACAGAGTTTTATACTTTTTCTTTTATACTACACTATATTATACGAAAATAATAGTATGTCTTCAGTAATCTTCAATACAAAAGGAAACAAAATGCAATAAAAACAGTAAACTCATATCACAATACTTTATTAATCGTCTATACTATACATCATTGACTAGGGAGCTAATAGTTGTGCAGAGGTATTCTATTGGTATGAGGGCTGACCGTATGTATTGGGCTTGAAGGTGATGGCAGGACCGTACTCGTGAGGGTACTGAGCCTCGCCCTGGTAGCTCACCTGAGCCTGGTAGCCGCCGTAGTGGTCAGCCACGTAGGTCACCTGGTGGGAGGTAGAAGAGAGAAATCATTAATTATTAGTTACTGTTTGTAAAAATATTGCAGTATGTAAGAAGTTTGCAGTTTCTAAAATTATCTAATTTTATTACGTTTTGCAAATTGTAATTTTTGGGGGGTCAGTTTTACATTGTTACAGTTTTTAGAATTTTTTGTAATTTGTAATATTTCTGAAGTCGTGTTGGGGTATTTAGTTTAATACCTGAACCAGAATGCTTGGGTAATGTTTGCTTACTGTTTGGATGCGGCCGTCGGGGAGCACAACGTTGTAGGAGCCCTTGACAGCGTTACCATCAGAGTCCTCGTTGTGGCCGAAGTTAGCACCAGAGTAGTCGTCCTTGACACCGTAAGCGAAGTTGTAGGGCATGGGCGCCTGGGGGAGGAAGCAGGTGCCTTCCGTCAGATATATATATATTTTTTTTTTACATTTTGAACATACTGTATATACAACAGAATCGTCTAACAAACTCATAAAAGTCTCACACACACACAAACATACACACGTACAAGTCGGGCACCTAGCACAGTCCTTTCACAAACTCATGAAATCTCACAAACACGTGCAAGACAGTCACAAAAGCAAAGACGTCTCACAAACTCGCCGTAAATTCAGAACTACCGGATAAACCTGAAGCACCATCACTTACCGGATTGTATGTGTCTGAGGGGAGCGCCGTAGTGACGCCCACCACCACCACCATCAACACGGCCACCTGCTGGGGGAAGACACAAGGTGAGAGATATTACTAAAGACAACTACAATGGCTTCTGGTGTTAATTATCGTGAGTGATTTAATTTTGTCAATATCAACCAGCGTTAAGTATACAGGTTCTGACTCAGTGAGTAATTGATTTGCTTTGACTGATCGGGTTACAGACTGACGGATTTACTGACTGGTTAATTTACAAACTGACGGATTTACAGACTGGTTAATTTACAAACTGACGGATTTACAGACAGATTAATTTACAAACTGATGGATTTACAGACAGATTAATTTACAAACTGACGGATTTACAGACTAATTAATATACAAATTGATGGATTTACAGACGAATTAAATTACTGTGAATGCGGACGGACTGACTGACTTAAAGACTGATCGACTGACTGAATTTTTACTAAACCCTTTACTACAGTTTAATCGATGCCGTGTGTGTGTGTGTGTGTGTGTGTGTGTGTGTGTGTGTGTGTGTGTGTGTGTGTGTGTGTGTGTGTGTGTGTGTGTGTGTGTGTGTGTGTGTGTGTGTGTGTGTGTGTGTGTGTGTGTGTGTGTGTGTGTGTGTGTGTGTGTGTGTGTGTGTGTGTGTGTGTGTGTGTGTGTGTGTGTGTGTGTGTGTGTGTGTGTGTGTGTGTGTGTGTGTGTGTGTGTGTGTGTGTGTGTGTGTGTGTGTGTGTGTGTGTGTGTGTGTGTGTGTGTGTGTGTGTGTGTGTGTGTGTGTGTGTGTGTGTGTGTGTGTGTGTGTGTGTGTGTGTGTGTGTGTGTGTGTGTGTGTGTGTGTGTGTGTGTGTGTGTGTGTGTGTGTGTGTGTGTGTGTGTGTGTGTGTGAGAAAGAGAGAGAGTATAGTTCCATCCATTACGTCTTTACTGTCATAAACCATTAGATACCATTACTTTGGGATTTTAAATGTTACTGCAATATATCTTCGGTGGTGTGATATATTTCCGGGTATTTAAATTCTTCATATTGTTTTCCCTCCTCGCGGTCAGTGATGGTGTTAGAGCACTTAGAAAAGATCACAGTAGTGGCAGTCACAGTACCTTGATCATGGTGAGGTAATGTTGTGTATCAGTGGAGAGTTGGAGCAGTGAATGATGATCAAGTGTGGGTGGCGGCACCTTATATACCGTAACCTGCAGCTTGTGATGCTCCTCCTCTTTCTCTCCCCCTTCATGGTAACGTGTGAACGCTTGGAGGGGGTGAGGGGTGAGTTGCGTTAAACGCTGATTTTTTTTTGTGGTTATATTTGTGATCACTTTGCTCTCCGGCAATGGGATTTTGTTGACTAAAGAGAGAGAATTGTTGCGTGTGTAAGTGTGACACTTATCCGTTTTCTTCAGGTTAAACTACTCGCGTTTATTCGCCCATCCCAAAAAACACCAGACTTATGGTATGGAGTGAGTGGTTGGTGTCCATACAGTTTTCTCTTGCCCGGGATATAATTCTTATATTGGCACATTGAGACGACGTCCTCACCACCGAGCACTGTCCATAACACCACTTGAAGGGTGTGTCTCTCAGAGGGCACAGCTGCTGTAGGTCAAAGGTAATATTTGGTAACAGTTTTATTGATTCTTGGTGGAACATTTTTCCAGACAAGCAGGCATTTCATATTGATACCTAGATTAAGTTAAGAATTCCAGACACAAAATGATTATGGCTTATGGTGTGGATTGGTCTTGTTGTTAAGTAGTACGAACAATGATTGTATGTGCGTCATCGATGTGAAGCCAAAGCAACACGTGGAAAAATAAGTTGCGACGTTTAATTTTGTGCGGGGAACACGACATAAAACTGGAGGTGCTTCACACTACAGCACTTTTGTTTATCATCTATTATGGCAGTACCGTACACATTTTATAATTTGGTTTCCAATTTGCGTTGAATAAGCATTTCTGAGCAATTTTTTTAACGCAATTTCTGATATTATTGTATCAACTTCTATATTTTTAATTAGTTCGGTTAATAACAGTATTTCTAATTAATTTTGTACAATCGCGAAATGTAGGCAGAGGGAAATTTTTTTGACACATGTTTACAGTCCAATATTATTTTAATATGTCTAACACGGTGTTACAGGCGTATCAAATTCTCCTTGTAGTGTTGTGTAGACCTCTGGTGGTGATCGCCTTGACCCCCCCCCCCCTTCAGTGGTCACTAGGTTTGGCTCACCCGTTGTTGATAACACCACGTGTTCGTTTTATTCATTTAGTTGGTGTGTGTACCAAGTGTTCATGATATACACAGGCTATATTATCACGAGGCAACAGTGTATTTAAAATGTGGTGCCTTAACTTAGATGTGACAGGAAGTGCTACTGTGATCTGCCCAGTCAAGTTGTAATGGAATGGAACCCTGAATTGAGGTTGACACGCCAGGGATGGATATGGGGATTAGGGTTATGATTGAGGCCCCTGCGGGGACGTTATCTCAGCACCCAACGTGAAGCTTGTCGGGACTTGTCTTTAAGATTCACGACTTTGTACCTAGGATTCCGAACCTGGGCTTTAAGTTATTTTACTGCGACTTAGGATTCAGAATATGAGCATTAGGATTGAGTACTTCATCATAGGATTCAGACCCTGTGTATAGGATTCAAAAGGATTAACCGAGTATTTGGTAATCAGGGATAAGTTTTAAAGAGTCGGAGTTAATTCTGAACTTAGGATTCGGTGTGTGTGTAATAATAATAATAATAATAATAATAATAATAATAATAATAATAATAATTAACGGTTTATTAAGATAACATGGCAACCCGAAGGCCGAAAATATACAATGAACAGAGGCGATAAGTTACGTATGGTGTGTGTGTGTGTGTGTGTGTGTGTGTGTGTGTGTGTGTGTGTGTGTGTGTGTGTGTGTGTGTGTGTGTTTTTAAGTTAAAATACCTGGGTTTGATATTTGATGTTGTGGTTGAGGAAGTGAGTCAGTGTTGCGAGAAAAGAAACCTTGGAATTGAGACCAGAAAATCGGGTATCTAGATCAGAAGCCTTGAACCAGAGGGAAAAAAACCAGGATTCGACGATAAATTCTGGATTATTAAATTTGGAAACTCTGGATTGGATAAACGAAACCTAGGATTCTATGTATTGTCCAGGATTGTATAAGTGTAGCCCAGGATAACAGAACAGAAAGATTGGATATACTTTTTTGTATCTTATTAAATTTTTCCTTATTTAACTGTAAAGAGGATATTGAACTGTGTATTTGGAGTCGTTCATGTTGCCTATTAGAAAAGGCCAAAAGGGTCGAATTGGCCTGAACTTACCCATGTATGAAATTTGTATACATTATGATTTATGATGTATTTTTGTGTGTATTCATATATTATCATCACTAATATTTTTTTTGGCAATTCACCAATTATGAATCACTCTCCTTGCAATGTCCTGTTTTGAGTAACGAATCTGATTCTGAATTTTTCGTAACGTTACCTTCATCAAATAATGGACAAACGAGCTGACAGGCGTGTGAAGTGTGTTACTTGGTACTATGTATAATATTTAAACACACATTAATTGTATATGGTTCTCATTAGATAAATTACACATCATCATTTTCATACATCAATCAACCAACACTGCAATAATACCCCGGGGCTGTATGTTAGGGAGTAGGTTGGCGTAATATTCAAGGTATTTTAGGTAATTAAAAGTAGTCCAGTTAATCATACACTTTAATTATCACACCTACAGAAGTGACTAGAAGAGGAAGTATTTAAATAACAAGTCAACACGGGAGTCTTATGAGTACGAGTTCTGGGGCTGGTAGGACGCTTGAGGCTTGAAGGTGACTGGGGTACCAGATTCGTGGGGGTACTGAGCCTCTCCCTGGTAGCTCACCTGAGCCTGGTAGCCGCCGAAGTGGTCAGCCACGTAGGTCACCTGGTGGGAAGTGGAAATATAAGCGTTAATCACAGTTGCATTTTACTTCCATTGTATTTCAGTGTATCTATTGCATGGAGAACCAGGTGTGTGTGTGTGTGTGTGTGTGTGTGTGTGTGTGTGTGTGTGTGTGTGTGTGTGTGTGTGTGTGTGTGTGTGTGTGTGTGTGTGTGTGTGTGTGTGTGTGTGTGTGTGTGTGTGATACTTACTGTCTGTATGCGGCCATCAGGAAGGACTACGTTATACGAGCCCTTTGCTGTGGAGCCGTCAGAGTTCTCACTGTGGCCGAAGTCAGTGCCGGCGTATTCGTCCTTAACACCGTAGGCATAGTTGTAGGGGATGGGGTCCTGGGGGGTACAAGGTAGTCTGATTATCTACCTGAGAGAGAGAGAGAGAGAGAGAGAGAGATCCTGTATCTCTACCTCATCATCATTCAGTAAGGTACACCTGATTGACTGGCGGCACGAGAGAGATGTTTTGGGGAGCGAGGAGGAAGATCTGGCTACTAAAGGCTCTCGCTCACTCGTATTACTTGTTTACAACTTAGTTTAGTCACTTACCGATTTGTAGGAGTCTGAGGGGAAGGCCAGAGCCACACCCACTGCCAGCACCATTATCGCCGCCACCTGATGGAAAGGGGAGATAATTAATCTTAACAAGGGGTATACTAACTTTACAGGGGGTAGATTATGGGCCTTATAAGGGGTAGATTGATGTCTTAATAAGGGGTAGATTGCTGTTTTAAGGGGTACTTTACTGGCCCAACAAAGGTACAGCTTGATAAATTCTCTGGGTAAGTATGGAACTCCCACATCAGGAACCCGTCCAGCTTAGTATATTAAACATTCAAGCTGCTGTATATAACTACTACGAAAACACACACACTATCCTGGCAGTACCACCACCACTCAGTCCATGCCCTTGTCCTCAGTATAGCAGAAATTCACTTTGTTGACTTCTTTATGCTTGCTTAGGTTCTACATTGTTTTTGTTTTTTTATCCAAGACGATTTTTTGGGGGGAAGCAGCACTAAAATTCACTTGTTTTTTTCATTAAATATCTTGTAATACCTTAAACATATTTAGTTGTTATTGTAGAGGCTTGTACAGGTGTTGGCGGAGGAAGGGTGAATGTTGCTATCCACTGCAAGCATCTACCTTTTATAGATCAACTTGTGTCTCCCTCCCTCCCTCCCTCCCTCTAATCTTTTTTTCCCGTTTGCTCTGGGGAAAGGGAGTTGATGGTAGGGGATGGAGAGGTGGGTGGGTGGATAGGAGGTGGAGAGGTGGGTGGGTAGGTGGTGGAGAAAGATTAATGAGGTAGGTAATGGGTGGAGAAAGAGGGTGAATCGGGGGTGGGGGGGGTTAAAAAAACCCTTCTCATTCAGTCAAGTGAGGAGAGAAAATAAAAATGTAATCTACGGTGTATGAGTCTCAGTAGTTTCCCGCTGTGATTACTGTTTACATCATATAGCACTAGTCACCACGTCACTCGTGTGTGTGTGTGTGTGTGTGTGTGTGTGTGTCTGTGTGTGTCAGCTGATAATATTGATGTTTGATAAATTAAACGTCGCAGTCCTTTTATTAATCTTGCATCGTAGTTTCCTAACACATTCAATACACTAATCAATAGACCGCAGTGGTGAAACTCGGGCAGTGTCTCTCTGCATCTGTTATCTTATTCTATACATATTTCCAATACTTCCTGTCAGTGTTCTGGCGGACTGCATTCAGTAGTGCCACCATCACGCGCCCTCATCGATCTATAAGTTCATCAGGGAGAGACGATAACCTTTCTGTTAAAATTCCCCTCTGCAGAACCTTGTCTACCAAAACTCATTTAAATCCTCAGGTAAGCACTGTGTGGAACTCCCTGCCTCAATTTACACCTGTCATAGTGTGTCCGTCAGTAAAATCATCCGTTTCAAATATCTTCAGAATAACAAGTGGACGCTTCGGTGAATAGATTTTTGGACAGATACATTACTCTAATATCTCCCTATCCCTTTTGCTAAAAAAAAAAGTGGTTTCAGTAACTGGAATCGGAGATTTTGGAAGCTGAGGTCTAGGGAACCATAGTGCAGGAGTTTAAGAACTAAAACTTCCAGGAACTTAAATGTGTTTTTTTGGGGGGAGTCATAATATGAGGCGGATTACACACCTCGTATCCAGTAGAAAATATTCCCTCAGTATTTACTTTCTTTTATCTATACAACCAGCGATGCTCACGTCGTCTGGTTGTAATGTACTTTCTCATATTTATACCTGACTTGTTAGGTTTTTACCCTTGAAGTCGTGTGTGTGTGTGTGTGTGTGTGTGTGTGTGTGTGTGTCCTATGTTTGGTATCTGTTTCTCTGTTTGTTTAGCGTCTGTAACTGTATTTGACATATCTGTCCGTGTTTGTCCGTTCGTGTTTGTCCGTTCGTGTTGTCTGTGGATGTTTTTGTTCAGTACCTTTCGTCGGTAAACTTTTTTGTTTTGTATATAAATTTTTTGTCAAGTTATGTACAGCTTTCTTCATTAGTTACTCCTATTAATTGCTTATATTCTGGAGGAAAACGTCAAACCTCTAGTGCACAAATCTAGTTTTTCGTGCTGGTTTTACTAATTACTTAATGAGATTTATTTCAGGTTCTTGTTGCAGAGATTAATCATGTGGTATAGTTCAGGTTTATGTATGGGAGATTAATCATGTGGTACAGTTCAGGTTTATGTAGCAGAGATTAATCATATGCTATAGTTCAGGTTTAAGTAGCAGAGATTAATCATGTGCTATAGTTCAGGTTTAAGTAGGGGAGATTACTTAGATTCTGTAACAATAATGGTGCAGCAAGTATTGTTCATGGTGGATTGTGATGGTGAAATTTCTCTCTAATTCAATGGTACAAATTATCTCGTTTCTCTCATTCAGTGGTACAAATGTTCACGTCTGCAGCTGTTTGTAATGTTAGTGTTTACTGAAGATTTATAATAAATTATTTTATTTCACGTCCGCTGTATTAGTATTTTGTTGAGGAGTTCTGTGCATTATATCACAGAGTTGTTCCTTCTGTGTTCCTGAGAATTGTTCCTGTTGTGTTACTGAGCATTGTTCCTTTTGTGTTACTGAGAATTGTTCCTGTTGTGTTACTGAGCATTGTTCCTTTTGTGTTACTGAGAATTGTTCCTGTTGTGTTACTGAGCATTGTTCCTTTTGTGTTCCTGAGAATTGTTCCTGTTGTGTTACTGAGCATTGTTCCTTTTGTGTTACTGAGAATTGTTCGTTTTGTGTTATGGTATTTTTTATCCCCGAAGAATTACATCTCCACTTTGTATTACTTTTGACCCTTTGAGTACGCTGACTTAACCCTTGAGTACGTTGACTTAACCCTTGAGTACGATGACTTAACCCTTGATTACGATGACTTAAACCCTTCAGTACGTTGACTTAACCCTTGAGTACGATGACTTAACCCTTGATTACGGTGACTTAACCCTTGATTACGATGACTTAACCCTTGATTACGATGACTTAATCTTTTGAGTACAATGACATAACCCCCTTGAAGGCCCTCGAGTCGTAATAATCAAAGGGTCAAGTCATTGTACTCAGATGGGTTAAGTTATCGTACTCAAAGGGGATACATAAGTCATCACACTGTACTCAAAGGGTTAATGAGAATTATTCCTCTAACATAATAAAGATCTCATACTAATTCTGGATTAGTTCATCTTCCTTGTGATCTTAAGGCGAATAATACCAGAATAAAACCCTGGTATTTTTATTTAACGTTAACAAGGGTGGGTTTACCTCGAGTCAGTTCAGCTTTGACGGACACAGTGGAGTGTGGAAGGAATATATTTATTTTTTCCACGTCAGGTTTATTCTTGAAGGCTTGTCAGTTGTAAAGATGGTGGAGTAAATTTAGTTTTTTTAATATGACAATAGTAAAGAATTTGAATTTTTTTTCTTCATAACATTTATAGTTTTTATGGTAAAGATTTAGTAGTTATTTCTCATTAGTCAAGTTAAAAGGTAGGGTAAGGTAGGTTAGGTTTGGTTAGGCTTAGGTTTGGTTAGGTTAGCTTAGGTTGGTAAAGTATGTGTTTTGTAAAAAAAAATGGAATATTAATTTTTCATGCTAGCTGTAGGTTTTTTTTTTTCCCAGTCACGGAGACAGGAGGATATTTTGTCATGTCAGTTAATACCAGGGTGTTTGTGAAGCCTCGTATACACCTGAACGAGTGTGCATATATATATATTTATATATATGTGTGTGTGTATTTCCCAGGTGAAGTTTAGGTCAGTGGCGAGTTTACACACCTTAGCTTAAGTCAGTAATGTGTACTCATTCCTCATTTCTCTCTGTTTTCTCTTTCTATAATTTCGCAATGGGATGTTTATTCCATATTACAAAGGAAATGAGGCAGCAGAAGGGGAAATGGAAAACACGAAGACAATAAAAACTGCTCAAAGAATACGAATTCGTGAATGATTATCAGGCCACAAACTGCGTCAATGTCGAGAAAGTGGCGGTAGTAGCTATAAGGCAGGAGTAAAACATGTAGAGAAAATAGACCAACATATTCAGTATTGTTCCAGGTGTGGTGTTGGTGGTCGACGACTATGCAGACTAATACCCAAACACTGGAAATGAAGGTGGTAATTTTTGGTAATGGAATATCTTTTTTTCTTCTTCTTCTTACTTTCGTTCTCGCTCTATCTTGTTTGTCATCCGTCTCTTCTCTGTTTATATTTCTGGATCTGTCATTTATGGCTGTGATTTCAGTTTATAAGTCACTCGGAAAATATCCACCGTGTTTTGATGGGTGACTGAGGATGAAGTAAAGTTGTATTTTCTGAGATGCAGTATTCGGTGGGTTGACAAATAAAAATATATATTTTTTTTTACATAACTTTCTTTAATTATGTACAAAACTGACTAGGGGAAACAATACGGAACATGAATCATTGGTGTTTACTGGTATGAGGGCTGGGGGTTGTAAGAGGGCTGGTACGCCTGGGGCTTGAAGGTGATGGGGGGACCGTACTCGTGGGGGTACTGAGCCTCGCCCTGGTAGCTCACCTGAGCCTGGTAGCCGTTGTAGTGGTCGGCCACGTAGGTCACCTGGTGGAGGTAGAATTATATTAACTTTTGATTTCTTATAATTTGAATAATAATTTTTACCCTAAAACTACACTAGTGAGTGGTTCAGAAACTACAGTATATGCACATTATGCCATGAAGAACCAGAGGCAGGGTGGTATGATAACTTAATGACTTACTGTCTGGATGCGGCCGTCGGGGAGCACAACGTTGTAGGAGCCCTTGACAGCACTGCCGTCAGAGTCCTCGCTGTGGCCGAAGTCAGTGCCGGCGTATTCGTCCTTAACTCCGTAGGCGTAGTTGTAGGGGATGGGGTCCTGAGAAATAGTTCATTGTAGTTAACTAATTGTTGTGAATCATTACACTGTATCATGATAAACACCCGTTGAGTTAGTTTATAATTAGTGTTCAGTGTAAGGATTGTTTGACTCACCTCCTTGTAGACGTTCTGGGATTTAGGCTGGGGTCCGTACTCGTCTGAGGGGAAGGCCACTGCTACGCCCACCACCACCACCAACGCGGCCACCTGAGGAAGGAGAAAGGCAATGTTTACAGTGTGTGCTTGAGTTGCTGACGTAAAGGTGTTGGTAAACTCTCATCACTTTCTATAAATTCCCTGATGCATCACGAGCAACACCTGGATCATTCTGGGATTAAACTTACACTACCAGACAATCTTAACTCGCTCCAAAGTTTTATTTCTTATAGTTTCAAAACGTTTGACAATTTTAAAGAGGTGATACTATGGCTACCTTAGAGCTACTATATATACCTTTACGAGCATCCTGAGAAGTAGGTTGTTGTGCTGCTGCTGGTCTGAGAGCGAAGATGAGACTGTTAGTGGATGCGGGCCGCGTCTCGCTTATATACCGAAATGTGTGAGAGAGAATTTTCTCCCCGAGGGCTGGTCTTTCTCTTTTCCTTTTTACCTGGGAAGGGGGGGGGTGTGAGCCTTGAGTCATGCTGTGTACCTGTAGGGGGGAACACCTGAGAGATGAGGTAAAGTAGGAGGGGGGGGGGGAGTTGGCGCCTTACCTTTGCCTAAGAGTCTCGTGTGCCTGGCTGCTTGGACCAACATGTAAACACGCACCTTCTAATGGGTATCGCTATGATCGAAGACAAGTAGGTTGTTTGGAAAATCTTGAGCTGTTTTGACCTTGATATTCCTGCTGTGTGGAGTCATAACCAACACAAACATCAACAGTTGGATGGCATGAATGAGTGAAAGAGGACCATGATGAATATTATCAATGGAACTGTGATGGAATGGCTACTGGATTATCACATAGATGATTATAATTATTGTGAATTTTCTAGATATGTGTTTAAGGGTGACAATTATGACTTGTCTTTGATAATTTATATGTAATTATTTGTAACAATCTGGATCTGTAAGTCTTGTTATGTAGTAAATAACTCTTATAACTGTAGGTCCAGTTATCGTATAAATAAACTGTAACTGTAGACTGTAATTGTAGAGCCTTTTGTCATTCTTCTGAAGCATCTCTGTATGTGTTTAATTAATGCGAATGTGTATTGTGAGCTTTATATCCAGTCATTCTATTATATTCTTGTCGTTTCCTCATTCTTAACTGTTAATGTAAACCTGTTAGTCAGTTATTGTTAATGTAAAGTGTTACGTCCTTGTTAAACTGTTAAGCGTATCCATCATTCTATAACTGTTAACTTATCCGTCATTCTATAACTGTTAACTTATCCATCATTCTATAACTGTTAACCTATCCATCACTCTTTAACTGTTAACATATCTATCATTCTATAACTGTTAACTTATCCATCATTCTAAAACTGTTAATTTATCCAGCATTCTATAACTTAACTTATCCATCATTCTATAGCTGTTAACTTATCCGTCACTTAACTGTTAACTAATCCATCATTCTATAACTTAACTTATCCGTCATTCTATAACTGTTAACTTGTCCAGCATTCTATAACTGTTAAACTTATCCGTCATTCTGTTACTGTTAACTTGTCCATCTTTCTATAACTGTTAACTTATCTGTCATTCTGTTACTGTTAACTTATCCATCATTCTGTTACTGTTAACTTATCCGTCATTCTGTTACTGTTAACTTATCCGTCATTCTGTTACTGTTAACTTATCCATCATTCTGTTACTGTTAACTTATCCATCATTCTGTTACTGTTAACTTTGCCAGTCATTCTACAACCAATTCTCTCTTTCAAAAAGTGTTGACCTTTTCACTCTTGAAATTATTGATCATTAACTCTCGTAACTGTTGACTGTATACACTCCCCTTTTTTTAACTGTTGACGCATCCAGTCACTCTGAGACTGTTGGAGGGGGCTGAGTGGTCGCGCATCATTTGCTCCGTCAACAGAGTGGCTGGCTTTAGCACTCACACAGGCCTCTTTTGCTCTCCCTTTTACGTTTCATCTCACGTGTTCGATAGAGAAAAGCATTAAACGCCTCCCTCCCTCCCCCCCTCCCTTCTTCCTTTCCTCCCTGGCTAGCAAACACCTCATTATCTCCTTCCTTTTGCTTTCCTCCCTGGCCGCCAAACGCATCATTCTCTCCCTTCTTCCCTCCCTTCTTCCTTTCCTCCTTGGCCATCAACACCTCATTCTCATCCCTCCCTGCTTTCCTCCCTGGCCGCCAAACGCATCATTCTCTTCCTTCCTCCCTTCCTCCCTCCTGGCCGCTAAGCACATATTCTCCCTCCTCATTGGCCACCAGACCTATCCTCCCCTAGCCACCATCACTGCCACCTCATCCTACACCTGACCACCTGTCACAGAACTGAAATGTTGTTCTCCCGATGCACGTGTGTGTGTGTGTGTGTGTGTGTGTGTGTGTGTGTGTGTGTGTGTGTGTGTGTGTGTGTGTGTGTGTGTGTGTGTGTGTGTGTGTGTGTGTGTGTGTGTGTGTGTGTGTGTGTGTGTGTGTGTGTGTGTGTGTGTGTGTGTGTGTGTGTGTGTGTGTGTGTGTGTGTGTGTGTGTGTGTGTGTGTGTGTGTGTGTGTGTGTGTGTGTGTGTGTGTGTGTGTGTGTGTGTGTGTGTGTGTGTGTGTGTGTGTGTGTGTGTGTGTGTGTGTGTGTGTGTGTGTGTGTGTGTGTGTGTGTGTGTGTGTGTGTGTGTGTGTGTGAGAAAGGTGATAGGAGTAACTTAATGTGAATGGATGGATAAAGCCAATGAATTAGAGGAGGCGAGGAGGATGACTAAAACGTGTTGGGGGAGGAACAAGTTTTTATAAAGTAACCAGTAAAAGTGCAGTCGCGGCGGGAGGTATTAGTAAATTAAAAAAAAAATTAAGCATCGAAATCTAATACAAGAGTAAACCTGATGGAAAAGTAAGAGGCACGCAGTAGGAGCTAAGAGATTTAGAGTTAGCAGCGTGAAGACCGAAAAGCAGAGAGTTTAGCGGTTGACGAAATAACATAATTTTTAGGCGATCGGCAACAGCAGGTGTCGTCGAAGTGTCATATTTGATGGGACGAAAGAGTGGTTGTGGCCAGCAGCTGCCGTTCACTAGATATTAATGATGACGATGGTTGGCTAATCGACGGGATGAGTTGGAGTAAAGGAGGGGTGTGAGGGGAAGAGGTAGGAGGAGGGTGTGTGAGGGGAGGGGGCTGGAGGAGAGTGTGTGAGGGGAGGAGGCTGGAGGAGTGCGTTTGGGGGTGAAAGAGAAGGAAGGAGTCAGTACTGGGTGTGTTAGAGGAGATGTAGAGATAGTGGTGGGGGTGAGAGAAAGAGGGAGAGAAGGGGAGGGGTTGGAGGCAATTGCGACGATGACAAGCCCAGTAACGAGCGTAAACAGAGAAAGTCCGAGGCTCCGAAGAGAGTGAATCGTGGATGATAAACGAGTTGAGTCATTTTTTTGGGGTGGAACTTATTGTTATTAGTATCGTCATCGCTGTCACCATCTCCACCCCTACCCCTCCTTCTTTTCACCCAGCAGCTGTCGTTGTTGTCTCTTTCTGTCCGTCTGTCTGTCTGTCTTGTCCGTCCAAATACTGGCGTTGATACAGGTGGTGGTTTTTAATTTGTTGATACTGCAGGTGAAAACTGGTGAAGCATCTTGAATTAGTTGGAGTTAAGAATTACCTGAATCTCTATTGGTTGATCTTGTAACATCTGTCTCATTTTTACCTGGTATATTTGTGTGCTAGGAAAGGTGTACAGTACGTGTCTTATGCATGTCTTTAAATCCGTGAGTAAGATGTCTTAATCAATTGCCCTCTGTTTTAATCCTTTGTAAGATGTCTTGATCCTCAGAAGCGATGATCTGTGCCTTTGAGTCCGTTACCATTGTATTCGGGGTTTAAGTCATCATTCTCAAGGGGTTAGGCGTACTATTGCATAACTACGAGACCTTGTACTGGTGGGTACTCGCACCGGCGTCGTAGACTGTTACAAATTTACGTATTTCCTATATTGTGTCAGTTATTAATCTCCCGTCTCGCCTAACGCCCTTTGGTTACAACCGAGTATAACGTAAATAGAATCCCTTATAATTTAATTCCTTAGGTTAGGTGAATGTACTGTAAAAAATAGACCGTAAATTTTCGGTGGAATATTGGCAGCCCAGTTACCAGTGTTCCACCGTAAAATTTACAGTGTGTCCGTAAATGTCATAGCAGACGACGACGGTGTGTCACTGTAAAACGCGGAACTAACAAAAAATCACCGTAAAGCAAATACGGTGGCCAACCGTAGATTTTTTACAGTGAACCACTGTAATATTCACGGTAATTTCTTACAGGGAATAGGGATTCACAGGCCTAATGAGGTTAATTCAGACCTTTAGGGAGATTCAGTACAGGTAACTTGCTACCAAACCCAGATAACCATTTTTTGGCGGGTCTAAACACCATGATTGTGTAGGTGACGTTGGCGACCACTACAGCACTACATTGTTCGAGGTAGAGTGAGGTAACATACACACCATGATGCCCTACAGGGGAGTGACACAGTGAGAGTGAAGTGAACCCAGAGTTAAAAATGGGGTTCGTGTTCCTGACAATTTTTAGTTTTGTAATGGGATTCGTGTTTTTGTGGTCGTGTGTGTGTTCACTTTAACCGTAACGTCTATTAACCAACGTAGTCATAGTACAGTTGTCAAAATTCCCTGGGCACTTCTGACAACACTTGGCATCACCTTATGTGGTTTACTTATAAGTAGTGAACATTGCTTTAATAATAAGTTATACTAGACTAACAACAGGGAAAAACACCACCATAATACTGAGAAAAATCTGCGAAATGAAGGTTGAAATATTTCAGTCTCGTCTTTTTCACATGACCTTCCGGTAGATGCCAGACAGTGCTATAATTTCCACCCCATATGTACAGTAGATTATAAAAAACAAAATTAGTTTAGGATCTTATTATTTAAACCCTATAATTGATATAAGAAATCTTTAAGTATCCAGAATATCAACGTGTCAAACTATGATATCAGTAGACTTGTGATTCAGTCGGGAAAGGCGTTCATAGAATTATTTAAAGTAACTAAAAATATCAGGCTTGTGTACTTAAAGATTCTCATAGTTTGTGTGTTATGAGTCCCGAGTGTTATTGTCACCAGGTGGACTCTTATTACCAGTGTTTGTTGGAATGTGTTGGTAATGATTGTAAAGTATCTTATATGGACGCCAAACTAACCTAACCTAACCTAAATTAGGACTGGTACCCATAAAAGAAAAACTGTCCATCTATCCCAAAGGTTAGATTCGGTTAGGTTAGGTTAGGTTAGGTTAGGTTAGGTTAGATTAGATCCTTTACGACAGAAAATTTATGTGAGGAGTTACATTTCGTGACTTACTGCCACTGTTGATGCTTACTGAACCATGGCTGTAAGTTGTTGC